TGGAACGATTCTTTTCACATTAATTAAAATTGTAAGAATTATTGAATTATATTAACTGTATAACCTAATTATGTTCCTGTATTTTCTTCCAGGCTATGTTCTACATATATACCAAATTTCAGAGAGATACATGCAGCCGTTCTGGAGATACCTTCTCACAAACATCCATCTATTCATCCCTCCAAACATTCGTTATTATAATATTTTTACTTCTTGTAAGATATAAAACTTTGTCTCTATTGTAAAGCATCATCATCATCAGCTCACTATACGTCCCCATTAGGGTGATTAGGCCATAGTCAACCACGCTGGCCAAGTGCGGGTTGGTTGTCTTCACACATATCTTTGAATTTCTTCTCAGATATGTGCAGGTTGCATCACGATGTTTTCCTTCACCGTAAGAACATCGGATAAATGTACATATGTAAATCGGAAATCGAAAAACACATTGGTACATGTGCGGGATTCGAACCCAGGACCTGCAGATTGCAAGTCTAGTGCTTGACCCCTGAGCCACCGACGCTCAGGGGTCAAGCACTCGACTTGTAAAACATATTCGAATCCAATTCGTAATAGTTTAAATATTCAAAAAGTATTGAGAACTTTTAAAAGACTTGCTTTTATTATTTGCACTGGATAAATAAACTTGCTAACATTTATTCCGATTGGCGAATGAACGTTGATACGTGATGCTATTGATTGATATATAAGCGAATGTATAAAAGATTAAATAAATTTACATCGACATAGTAGCTGCTTTCACACCGGACTTCTATTGTAAGATAGTCGAGTCAATTCGGTAGTACAATGGGACTCCGACAACTTGGTGGCCCAACGCAATCATAGAGTAGTTTACATTTTATATTTTGCCTAACATTGTTTTACTCTGAGAGATAAAAATATGAAGTTATAACGACTAATATGAGCAATTGCTGTAAACTATTTGACGAATAATAAAGTGGCTTGAAAGACAACTACATAACTACTAAAATCTTCTTAAGAATCACAAAGAAATAGGCAAATAATTTTCAGCATTTTTTTTATCTACTTAAAGTTTTTATCATGTTAAAAGGTAATAAAATATGTTAAATTGGTCTGTCCGTGGAGCAGTTGGTCTATGCGTTGTGCGTTAGAGAGTCAAACGCGCCGCGTCACGACCCATCGAATTATGGCCACAAAGCGCCGTTGATACCGAATATTCCATATAAATATTGAGCTAATCGCCCTTTCAATGAAGCGGCCCGCTTTTTATTAATAATTGATATCGGAGCAGCCAGTCATGCGCCGTATTGTGCCGGCGAACACATTTTTTGCTCCGGCCCAACTCATTAATGCGCTCGGAGTTCGAAGCCAGCACATGACGGACGGAGGCGTGGCCGAAGAAAACTTTGCCCAAACTAATTTTCGATGAGTTCCCATCGTGTTAAATAATGCAGAACAAATGTTTGTTTATTTGTGTAGCGATTAGTTTCTATCGAAGTCATGAGTTGTAGTCTCACAGTGTTGCCATCTAATCTGAAAATTATTTTTGCTAGTTCTTAAGCCATTAGTAGATATTTATCTACTATGATGGTTCCTTCAAGTTGCTTTGAAGTCCTAATTGGATTTGGACTGTCTTTTAAATATTGAAGGTTTTTGATGCCACAATACGAACTAATGCGAAATAGATTAAATCTTACTAATATTATAAATGCGAATTTTTGAAAGGTATGATTGTTGTTCAAAGATTGTTAATATAGCGCAGACGCAGTCGCAGGCGACAGTTAGTTGATAAATAAAATATTAAAGTAGAAGACTAATAACTAGTAATGTTAATAAATAAGAAACTATAGTGCATCGTCACTTTCTATATAAACGCTGCTTTGGTTCCGTTTAGCCCACTTATCTAATTAAACATTCTCATACATTTCGTACAACAATAACTTTTAATTTTTAAGTGTTATGAGTGCAGCGCTTACACGCAGTTAGGTTAACAGTATAACAGCATGAGAAATCCGCTAAAAGCATACGGATACCTTGCTTTAAGCAAATACATGGACAAACTTAAAATATAAATGTTACAAATATTATAAATGCGAAAGTTTGGAGGATGGATGTTTGTTTGAAGGTGTCTACGGAATGTGTCAACGGATCTCGATGAAATTTATCACAGATGTAGAGAATAGTCTGGAAGAACACATAGGCTACTTATTAAGTTTGTTTTTAATTCCGCGCGGACGGAGTAGCTGGCGACCGCTCGTTGTTAATTAAACATACAAATTAAACAAACATAAATGTCTCTTCTTTTTAATTTGGTTCTTAAGTATGTATGATTAATCATACAATTTTTGTAAAATGGAGAGATTAGTATTTTTTTTTGTATGAAACGAATAAATTCAAAAACTACTGGACCGATTTAAAAAAACTTTTGCCACTAGTAAGCTACATTATCACTGAGTAACATCGATTATATTTATGACTAGAATTTTCTTTTTAATTCCGAACTAAGTCGCGGGCAAAAGCTAGTCTATGACACGTTAATTATGTGTAATGTATAAAACATTTGATTTTATGTGTATTTTTTAATTTTTCTTTGTGTCCAAATTTTTCGTTAATCATGGTCACCGTGTGAGGTGTATTTTCATTGTTCGCGAGATGTTTCTATCAGATAGTTGTTATTGTTTCAAAACGGGAAACAGCTAACGTTCACTCAATTTGATATAATTGAGTGAATGAGAAACGTTTTCAATTATAAAATCATACGAGGCGGCTAATTCGACGCGTTACTCTCCCACCTTATTTGTTATTTTTTTATTATTTTTTTTACAATGCGAAAGCTCTCATTTTAAGTTAAGTGCTGTTATTGTTTATAATACCAAAGCGAAGGGGAACTATCACGGCTGTAAAAATTCTGATACCAGCACAATTATGACAGTTTGATAAATTATTATTTCAGTGTTTAACGTTATTTCACAATTTTAACACGAATTAAAAATATAACCTTAAAATTCACTCTACTTCCGCCTATCCTCTTTCAAACGATCCATTCATGCTTTTTCGGTCTTGCTGTATCTTTCTAGTCATTCATATTTAATCTTATTTCTTTCTTGTTTATAAATTCAACATATCTTAGCATAATATGACAAATGAAGTCTCAAATAAAAAAGTACAAATAGGTATAAAAAATCGACTCTTATTCCGCTATCTACAATCAGTTCATTAAGCTAATACAATTACGAGAGTTATAACAATCGGGAATAAAGAAAATCGTCTTTCAATTATAGCTTTCTCAAAAGCCCTCGCGCCGGAGCTTAATGACGCGGAAAGTTCTACTATGAAAAACTAACGAAGTTCCCTCGCTTTGTTAGAAAGAGACGGAAACATTTCACGCGAAGTAATCGTAGTGTGGATTGCAAAAACATGAACTACGAGCAACTCGCGAGCGTCCCTGCTTAACTATTCATGAGAAAATTAACGGCAAATATCCCACACTTCACGCTACAAACATACGCCAATGTAACGATACATCGAAGCTACAACATTGTTGATTTCTAAATAGAATTATTAAAACTCTACAAACTATAGTCTGGACTTATAAAATGCAACAGTTATTTATCTGTGAAAAAATAGAAATCGGATAATTATTATTACCGATGTATTAAGTACATT